TTATATTTACTCTCCAAGAAGTCACAACAACTTCTTGTTACAACAATCACAGACTCACTTTCGAACTTAGAATTATTACAACTCAATAATGATTCCAAGTTAATTTAAAAATAAACTTATTTAAACTGAAAACCTGACTCTAGTTCTTCTTTTTTCTACCATTGTACGCTCCTTCTGATACTTCTTGCCTTTTGCTGAAAACAATGATATTCATTGTGTGCAAAATCTAAAGTTTCATTATTCAACTTTCTCCTTTTATAGTCATCCTGTTTTGCGCGTCCTGAAAATCCTAATTGAGTTCGTAAGATGCTCTTCAATAGGTTGGCTACTCCTTTTATAGAACCTTACGTGGATTCTAATTTATTCTCACGCGACTTTATTGTGATAATCATTTTTAGAATTTGATCTGCGTTGTCAATCATCAAAAACTGTTTTGTTAAATATTGACTTGTCAGCAGAAAGTATGACAGAAAAAGTTCTCTTTAGGATCAATTCTGCATATAAATATTGAATTATATTTGGTACAACCTCATATCCTTTTTAAAACGAATTTTAGGTGTATATATATATATATATATATATTCCAGCCATACAAAGAGCTAATCGTTGTTAGCAGTAAAAAATTACTAAACGTTTGAATTTTCTTGAACAAATTAAACTAATCATGGATATGCGCTATTTAAACTCACCCAATCTGTGTTCTAATTTGGTAATTAATTCATGTGAATAATGTGATACTTTTTTTAATGATTTTCTTTATCCAATCAATTTTTTTTACTACATAAGCAATGGGGGAAGATAAAATTTGGGAGGGAATAATCACAAGGTGGAAAATAGCTAAAACCTTCACCAACAAGGTGAAAGTTCACATACCCAATTAATTGGGTATTATCAAAATTCCAAGAAATTTTATTGTTAACAAGAAGTAAATTCATACCTCGATATAGATGAAATGACGCCAACAACCCCGTTGATAGAAGATGATCAATACGTCACATTTTCAAAACATCATTCAGGTTTATTCAAAAAAGCTAGTAAATTAGAATGTAATGTTGATGTCCGAATAATGTTATTTTCATAAAACAATTTGAAATTATCGATTGATTTTCAAAATGTAATATAATGGTAAATAAAAGTACTCATCTTATGTACTTGAAATAAAGTGAGAAAAATCAACAACAGTCTTAAGAATTTTAAAATAAGCGATAATAAAATGAGTACTTTCACTTACTAATATATCAAGATTCAAAAAATTGATCAATAACTACTTATAAATAACACCATTTGATGAAAATAACATTATTCCATCATGAACATCAAATTCACTATCCTTTTGGATAAGCATGAACAAGTTTTGAAATGTGACATATTATCACCTTCATTTATATAAAGTATAGATCAATATTTTCGAAGAAAGGATGTTTATAAGAAATAAAATATCAATATTATTTGTAAGAATCACAATATTTTTTACGACGAAGCATTAACTTTCTAACCTAATAATGTAATTATATCAATGGAAATAAATATAGAAGCAATTGTATTTTTTTTCTAAAACTTGGAAACTTGGGATAACTAGTTATTTGACCAAACACTAGTTACCAATTTTTTTCGAAATTTTTCCCAAATATAATTTTCTTACTTTTGGATTACTAGTTTATGATTAGTAAATGAAAATGTAATTGGAAGGAACATTAATTAAAATATAAAAATCTTGAAACATTATTTATAGCAACCAAATCAAAGTCGCAACTTATCTTTGATTAAAGGTATCCCATGAGATTAAAGGTTTGTTAAATTAAATATTCCTCTTATATAATCTAATTTCTGAATACATCTCTTGTATTTTAAAATATAAACACTTACACCATTTATATTATGAAAATATTATACACTTATACTCTCTATGAGTTAAAGCCATGACTAAATATTTTAATAAAAGATTGAGTAAAATTATTAATGACACAAATTAGTTAATAGAATATTCCAATTATTATTAGTAATTTTCTCGCACTTAAATCATACAAGTTATTTTATTTTTATTTAGTTATAATATTTTATTATATAATATTTAAGGGTTTGACCTAGTTATTAACAAAGTGGTTGAAAATCACGAGATCTATGATTTTTCCCATCTTCTACCATTGCGAATAGAGTTATCTAGTACTTATTACTGGTATAAGGTAACATATATTCCGTGAAATTAGTTAAGTTACACATAAAATTGACTTGGTCACCACAATTATCAAAATATATATATATTAATAAAATATTCAAGGGTGTGACCTAGTGATAAAATAAACTGGGTTAAAAATCACGAGACCTGTTGAAATAAAATTTGAGTTCGATTTTAAAGTTTAACATTAACAATTCTATATTTATTAAAAGAT